CTTGGAGTCTACAAGCCAGAGCAGAAGCCACATTCACTTGCCCTTACCTGCATCTGGTTGGAATTGTTGCAAATGAAAGGAAATATTGAGCAAAATTAATTAGCTAACAAGTGCATTGCCTGTCAGCTTAAAAGTAGCATTAATATTAAGGCCAACTTTTATTAGGTTAATAGAGGTCAAGTGGTAATATTAGTAAAGTGGTCATATAGATTTTCTTCTTTGCAGGCAACGAACAAGTTTTCTGAAAGGATGTGTTATTATAACTCCCTGCTTGGCATCTGCTGTTTCTTAAACAAGACATTTCTAAGGTTTTAAAAAATGATAGCCATTTTTTATAGGGACCCTGCTTTAACCGTGGGTCCAGAAGCTGCATCTTTAAAGGAGCCCTCACAGGCAGCTCAGTCAGTTGCTCAAGGCCTGCTGCCAACAAACAATTGAAGTATTTACTAAGGGTTCCAAAGAAATTGCTGCAAATTATATGAAATATTATACCTGTAACAGGCTTTCAATGTATTAGCACCAGAAAGAAAATGTAATGTATGTAAGACAAAGTTGCAATTTGTGAGAAAATATTCAGTTATATAGGTAGAGATGAATTTTAATGGCATACTATAGAGGAATCATACTTATGAAAGAAGAAAGGAAGTTAAGTGATCTGGCATTTTCTGGACAAATTTATAAATACTAGCCTAGAATCACTAAGAAGGAAACTTTAACATTATGTAGCAGACTCATTAAGAGACCTGGAAACTAAGACTGAGAGATGGGACAGAACTGGTGGGACTCAGTGCAAAACCCAGATCAGAACTCAGGCTTCCTGATCACCGACCCCCGACTCAGCATGCACCCACCTTCTCCTCATCATTGAATTACATCCTGTAGTTGGGTTTTCTTTACAAGTGCATCTGCTACCACCTGTCAGTCAGTTTGTCATAATGTGGTGGCTCGCATGCTGTGCCAAGGAAATGTCAAACATCAGCAGGGTCATCCATGTGGACAGATTTTAGTGGTGCTTTCAGACTAACACAGAATGAAAAGAAAGGCTTCATGATCTATTTTTGAAAACCAGCCAATGCAAACCCTATGAATCACAACAGAATGTCCAATATAGTGCTGGAGAATGAGCCAGTTTACTGAGGTAAAATTTCTATGAGATTTGCTCAACCTCACTTTGGCCACCTCTAAAAATAAATGAAGGAGTGGAGCATTTGGGGCAAGGAGCCACCCTGGACTCAAGGTGGCTGTGGGGAAGACAATGTGTATTAGGGGTGAGTGTCAGATTCATGAGGAGCTCTGGTAGCATAGTGCCTAAGGCACTTGACTGCTAACCAGGAGGCTGGCAGTTCAAACCCACCAGCCAACTCCTCGGAAGGAAGATGGGGCAATCTACTTCCGTAGTGATACTGCCTCGGAAACCCAAAGAGGGATCGCTATGAGTCAGGTCCAACTCGATGGCACATAACATCAGATTCGTGCTGGTCCTCCCTGGATCCTTGCTACTATTGGCTGAGCAGTGGCTCTTAGGTCTGGTCTCTGGATGGGTCTCTACACTGGGGTTACCAGGCCTGTTGAGCCTCTTGGGCCTCTGGTAACCAGTGAAGCTGTGAAATCTCTGCATAGGACAGCTGTCTCCTGAAGGAGGCCTCTGTCTGGCATGCCTTTGGAGCCCTCCCCAGGAGAACTGCAGCTGCTTCACCATCCAGCTACCTTTTGAATTGTGCTGCAACCCTCTTCCCCTTCCCCAGGAAAAACTGTTTGTGCCCCTGGAAGGCTTCTACATGACTTTGGTGTCCTTCTTCTTCTTCCCACACTCCCCTGGTCTGGAAAGGCACACATTGCCTCACTTCTTCCGGAAGGCTTTCACCTATGTCATACTCTTGACTTCTTCCAAGGGTTCCAGGCCTCCAGGTTTAGCCTTTATGGAGAGAAGAGCATCCTCTCTTCACTATGAAAGAAACATTATCATTCAGTCTGCATGGGAGGCTGTTACCTAGGAGCTGAGGGGCACTGGGAACCAAGCAATTGTCAAGGACAAATTATTTGGTATCCAGAAGATATTGCTGCCATTACATACTTCTCATTGGATTTTGGAAATACAGAGGAAATACAGAGAAGTCTAACACAGGTTAGAAAATACTGAAATCACTAAGTGTGTTGCAGAATTGAACATCTGTATCTTGCCAGATTTGTGCTCTATGTAAATCACTGTGAATTATGGGGCTGTTGCTGAATTTGGGGGAGCTAGTGACTACTTGGCATTTGTGGCTTTTGGTCTTACTGGAAAGCCTTTTCGATGGTTTTCCAGCCTGTAATTCATGGTTGTGTGTTCTGTATTTTTCCAAAGACCACTGCTGGAATCCTGTATTCACTGCATAATGAGTATTTTATTTTTAGATTGTGGATTGCCTCTGAAGGAGGGAGTCTGTGGGAAGGTAGGTAATGAACTATTTTTTTAACATAAATCACAACAAGTGTCAAAGAAAGTGGTAATATCCAAAGAATAAACAAAAGTGACCACCATTCAGTTGTAGAGTTAGTGTCTGTAGCTCACACAAGTTGGCGTTGTAAATTATCTGTAATATTTCAATCATTTGGTCATATTATTAACAATGAAGAAAGATCTAAGTATTCTCCCAAGCATGTTTACTTTCTCTCCTGAATTTCTGGATTGGATTGATTAAATTAAAGGAATCCTTCAGGCCCAGGAAAATTACTTTGCTTTCTAGGAGTTTCATTAGAAAATGCCAGTATGTTGGCAACTAAACAACAAGGCTGATATTTACTCTGTACCAACATCTGTTGTACGGAGGCACCTTCTTAGTTTTTTTTTTCTTCTTTTCCTTCAATTTGCCATTTTAACCATTTTTAAGTGTACAATTCAGTGATATTAATTACATTCACCATGTTGTGCAAGTATCACTACTATCTATTTCTGAAACTTTTTCATAACTCTAAACAGAAGCTCAGTACCCCTTAAGCAGTAACTCCACGTCCCTCCCCATCCTGCCCTTAGTAACCACTAATAAACTTTGATCTTTATGCATTTGCCCATTCTGGAGATTTCATATAAGTTAGATCATACAGTACTTGTCCTTTTGTGACTGACATTTCACTCAGTATGTTTTCAAGGTCTATCTGTGTTGTAGCATGTATCAGAACTTCATTTCTCTTTACAGTTGAGTGATATTCCATTCTATGTACCATACTTTGTTTATCCATTCATCTGCTGATTGACACTGAGTTGTTTTCACCTTTTGGCCACTGTGAATAGTGCTACAATGAACATTGGTGCAAGTACCTGTTTGAGTCTCTGTTTTCAAGCTTTTTGGTATAGCTTAGCTGTGTTTTTGTTGAGGAAACGTGTAATATTTTAAATCCATCACGGAGGAGCCAGTATCCAAAACTTCTCTTTAGAAAACCACATAACTTTTATGAATGGACGATGCTAATATTGACAAAGATTCAGTTTGGGGCTACTATCTATATGCCCACGTAGAATGTAATAAAAGCAGTGTTTACCATGCAAAGTATTAACATCTTTTACTATTTTTTTTTTTTTTGGCATCCATTAAATCCTAATACTGTTGTATACGATCTTTGCACATTGTTTTTTTTTTTTCTCTTTTCCTTCGTATTTTGCTTAGAAAATCATGACAGGAATGGAAGTAACCGAATTCATGGTTCACTCCCTAAGCTTGGACGTCTCAAACGGCTCCTGAACTGTTTATTCTATACATACATGCTCCTACCCATCTAACAGCGGGAACAAAGATACAGTGTGAATCAGGAAGACCCGGGGAAGGTAGCCGGTGAGGTCCGCCTGGGTGGAGGGAAGGGCGTGGGGTAGCTGAGTTTATCTGAGGACAGTCTCTGCAGGAAGAACAAGCCGTTTGTGGTTTCTAGGGCCAAAACACCCCCTGTTCATAAATCCCTCCTAAAAGTCGGCTTGCAACGCCACCGTGAAGGAATGGGGCAGCTCCATGGCCACGTACCGCTCACAGGGCCAAGAGTGCCTTCTGGGAACCCCTTCTCGCCAGGCTGGCGGCGCGGGCACGGGCGCGGGCACCGGCGAAGGCCAGACCCCGCAGTCCAGGACCGCAGGCTGGGCGTCGATGCTGGGCCCGAGAGCTGCACGCGGGGGCGTGGTTGCCGGCACAGATATCAGGCTCCCAGGCACCAAGCACAGCCTCCGCCCTATCCGCGCACGGCCCCACGCCCCCTCCGCCCTGGCGGCCCCGCCGCCAGACCTCGCGGGCTGGGCGGGGCGGGCGTCGCGCGCTTCGGGGAGGGCTTTTTTTTTTGGTCAAACTTTAGCCACGTGGACCGCCCCCCATTCACTTTTGCGCCAATCAGGTGGCGCGGACGGATCCCGAGAGGGGCCACGGATGCTGCGCTGCTGGGGCCTCTTCATAACGCGCTGTGCGTGACGTGAGGGGCTCCTGTTGCAATGGCGAGCTAAGCCGGAGGATGTGTAGCTGCAGCGGCGGCGCCGGCCACGAAGAGGACCGGGGCGGGCACAGTGCGAACGGAGCCGAACCAGCCGAGAGACGCGGGCAGGGCGGGACAGGGGCCTGGACGCGACTGCCGTCGCGGTCGCGCTGGCTCCGCGACCCCGCGCACAAGCGGGAGGAACGGCCGCTGCCTCGCGCCCGAGTTGCTGCAAGCGCGCGCCGGGCATGGTCCCCTCTTAAAGGCGCAGGCCGTGGCGGCGGGGGCGGGCGTGAGGAACAAAGCGCCGGCGCAGGGCCTGCGGGCAGCTCGGGTGCCGCGATGGGCGC